ACAGAAGGAAGGTGGGACAATCTACTTCCATAGTGATACCGTCCTGGAAACCCAAGGAGGGGTTGCTATGAGTCGGGTCCAACTCAATGGCACATAACAACACACAAAATTTCTTAATAAGAAAGAACAATGTGAAGATGGTATATGATCAAATGAATGTGACATCAGAAATAGAGAAATATTTTAAGCTAAAAAGTTCTTAGAAAAGCTATTTTATGAAGCAGACCTAAGAAAGAATAAAATGCATATTACTAGCCAAAAATAGCATTTCTGAAGGAGAGGCATGAATAAAGGCAAAGTTGGGAGTACCCACAATCTATGCCCTAAATAAAGAATAGAGAAACTGAGGAGAGGAGAATAGAAGCAGAAGACAGAGATGAAGAGACGGAGACCTTGGTACACAAGACCTTGGTACACGAGTGTGCCCCAATCCAAAACAATGAAGAGCACAACTGACATCAGGGGCACTGGTGGCACAGCGGTAGACAGAATTCTCACTTTCCATGTGGGAGACTTATGTTCAACTCCTGGCCAATATACTTCATGCAGAGCCACCACCCATCTGTCAGTGGAGTCTTACACGCAACTATGATATTGAATAGGATTCAGTGAAGCTACTGGGTTAAGACAGACTAGGAAGAAAAGCCTGGCAATTACTTCCAAAAATCAGCCAAAGAAAACCCTATGGATCACAACAGTACAAACACAACAAATCACGGGGATGGCGCAGGCCCAGACAGTTTTTATTCTACTGTGAATGGGCTCCCCACGAGTCAGTGGTCCACGTGATGGCAGCTAACAAGAACATGACTGCTTCAAGTAGTGTTTTAGTAAAACAAACCTGGAAGACGTGTACAGGATGAACTAAACCAAACTGTGTTCTACGGAACATTAGGGGATTCCATAGGACAGCAAGAGGGGGAAGGAAGCAGGTAAGACATTGGGAACATGATTTTGGTGTCTTCCCTACAAGTCAAACTGAGTCTTTTAGCTACTAAAATGTTTCTACTGTTGAAATATTCTTAAAAACCACTGTACTAAAGTACCCAGTTAGAAGGCACTGCTGTAATGCAAGTGTGTTGTTGTTGTTGTTAGGTCCCGTCAAGCTGGCTCCAACTCACAGTGACCCTATTTACAACAGAACAAAACACTGCCTAGTCCTGTGCCAGCCTCACAATCCTTGCTATTCCTGAGCCCACTGTTGCAGCCACTGTGTTGATCCATCTCATTGAGGGTCTTCCTCTTTTTCACTGACCCTCCACTTTACCAAGAATAATATCCTTCTCCTGGGAATGGTCCCTATGATAGTTTGGGTTGTGTGTCAACTTGGCTGGACAACGATTCTGAGTGACTGGAGCAGCTGTGATGTGGTTATTCCCATGATGAGATCGGATGTATATGTTTTGAGTAGCCAATCCATTGGAAGGGAGTTTCCCTAGGGGTGTGGCCTGCTTCCAATATATATTTATGGGTACCCTGGGAAAAAGAGACTCTTCTGTGGATCTGGATCCTATGGTGCTGCCTACAACTGTCCGTGAGCAAACAATCCACCATTCAGCCTGATGATCCTGGATTCATCATCCGTTGGAGCCAACAACTGGTATACTGCCTGCCAACCTTGAGCTCGCCAGCCCCTGCAGCTGTGTGAGCCAGGAAAAGCCTCCAGTTTGACATTTGATGCAGGAACTCAGGACTTGCCAGTCTGTAAGTGTGTGAGCCATTCTCCTAAGATAAATTTCTCTCTCTCTTTATATATATATACACATATATGTACATATGTGTGTGTGTGTGTGTGTATATATACATACACACACACACACACATATAAAAATACACACTTTACAGGTTTTGCTTCTCTAGAGAACCCAGCCTAACAGTCCCTTCTGACAACATGACCAAAGCAGGTAAGACGAAGTCTGGCCATTCTTGCTTCCAAAGAGCATTCCAGCTGCCCTTCTTCCAAGACACATTTGTTCATTCTCTGGCAGTCCATGGTACTTTCAGCATTCTTCGCCAACACCACAGCTCAAAAGCATCAACTCTTCTTCAGTTTTCCTTACTCACGGTCCAGCTTTCACATGCATATGAGGCGAATGAAAACACCATGGCTTGGGTTAGGTGCACCTTAGTCTTCAAAGAAACATCTTCACTCTTCAGCACTTTAAAGAAGTCTTTTACAGCAGATTTTCCCAGTGCAATATGACATCTGATTCTTGACTGCTGCTTCTACGGGTGTTGATTGTGGATCCAAGAAAACAAAATCTTCAACATTTCAATCTTTTCTCCATTTATCATGATGCTGTTTATTGGTCCGGTTATTGGCCAGTGCAAGGGGTCTTTCTGATGGAAATTTGATAGCATAGTGCCTAAGGCACTTGACTGCTAACCAGAAGGCTGGCGGTTCAAACCCACCAGCCACTCCTTGGAAGGAAGATGGGGCAATCTACTTCCATAGTGATACTGTCTTGGAAACCCAAGGAGGGGTCGCTATGAGTCGGGTCCGACTGGATGGCACATAACAAAAACAACAACAAGCGACAAACTAGATGGGATGTTAAAAGAATAGATCTGCATGGGAAAATAAAAAATAATAATTGAGCAGCAGCTGTTGGTCATACAGACTCGAACATCAGCAGAACGTATAAACACGACCATGTAAAAGTATCTCAGCCCTGAGGAGGTGCTACTCAAAACAGAAGAGTAAGGGGCATTTTGAACAGGGATTATGGAGAGAACAAGCAAAGGAGATCAGAAGATTACAGAAAAAAGATGAGCATGACATCAAGGAATGCTAAGAAAACAAGCAAAAGGCTCAAAAAAAAAAAGGCATCACTGGATACCATGAGAGTATGCACAACCTTTGCAGCCAATAGATCAGGGTTCTGGCACCTCCTCCACTTGACTGTAACAATAACTAACATTATCGAAAGGGCCATGGTGGTTCAGTGGTTGAATTCTCTTCTTCCACGCAAGATCCAGGTCCATTCCTGGCCAATGCACCTTAGGCACAACCACTACCAGTTTGTCAGTGAAGGGCTGCCAGTTGCTGTGATGCTGAACAGGTTTCAATGGAGCTTCCAGACAAAAATGGACTAGGAAGAAAGGCCTGGCAATCTAAAAAATCTTCTGAAGGTAGCCATAATCACAGCAGTCCAATCCTATTGAACACAAGGCGACCAGGAGTCAAGGGCCAACTTGACAGCAGCTAACAACAAAGGTACTGAACACGTTATAGAACACGGTGCTAAGTGCTTTAAATATCACCTCATTTAATTCTCACACCTTACAGATGAAGAAATTTAGAACTAGCAGGTTGCAGAGCCAGAATTCCTATTATTTAAGATGATTATATAAAGGAATCTAAGTTCCTAGCAACAGTGCACCCTCAAAACTGGCAAAGATATTTTATTGTTAGCAGGTAATAATCAGTAGGGACAACACAAACATACTGTCAGTAACCCCTGTCACAGAGTTAGTTCCATGTGGCAAACTCCGTTGGTGTCCTCATCTATAAAAAGGATGAAAGCCTGAAACCCAACCTATCCAAAAGGGTTGCTGGGAGGATTAAGTGAAATTATAAACATGAATTTGTTACAAAAAAATTTAAGGGACATTCAAATATAAAGGATCAATATATCTTTTATTTTTTACTCTTCAGAAATGCCTTCTTGGATCAACATAAGCCTCTCTGAAGAGAGCTAAAAATATATCTGTTAAATATGCACCCACCACTTTGAAAAGTATAAATCATATGGAATTACCACCCACTCCTCCAGCATTCTCTAATGTCCCTGCAAGGGCAAGCACATTGCACTTTACACTTGTAATGAAACTCCAATACTTTACAGCAGAGCTAATCAACACAGACAGCGTCTACGCCAAAGTTCTTTAAAGTTGATCTACAGCATCATTTGAAAGGTGCCACCTTCCTGTCCTTCCAAAATAGAAAAGATGTTCTCGATTTTCTTCTGTACTATTCAGCACTAGAATACAGATATACAAATACTTCTACAAAATGCTAGAAAAGAATCTATCAATTGATTTGTTTCAAGGACTCTGACTGAGAGAAGATCCCTCCTGGAAACCCTTCCTCTATACTCACACACACACACACACACTTTTTACCTGAACTGATGGTTTCCAGGCCTCAAAGCTCACATGTCAGGTCACACAACTCACAATAGCTCCCAAAGTTGCTACCTTGTTCTTGAATACACTCCATGTTCTTGAATACACCACTATTCATCTTAAGAGCTCTTATTACCAAAACACAGGAACTCTAATTTTCACGACAGCACTATCTGGGAAGAAGATTAGTACCCTCTCTATATATTATCTATATATTATAAATGAATGACTGAGGTTAAACATTTTGTGGAACATCAAATAATTCATTCATTCTTGGAGGGAAAAGTACAATTATGAACTTAATTTAAAGTTTAATTTTAAATTTAAAATTAAAAGCTTAAAATTACGAACTTATACCAGTGGACAGCCTTTATTTAGCTTCTTAAGATCATTTCAAATATTAATTAAAACGCATCCACTGTGTGTACTCTTACATTTCCAGTGGCTTATCAAAGATTGAAAATAAACTAACAATAAATACCAAAGGATCACTATTTTTAAATGCTAAAAGAAAAACAAATTAACTATATGGGGAAGTGTTTCTAATTTAAGATCCTACTGTCTTGCATCCATAAATACTTTAGAAGTTGGGGGGAGCAGACACCTGTCTGTGAAGCATATACACAAAAAGTTTTACAGACTGTGTAGCTATTAATATTTAATTCCTTAAGGTGTAAATTAACAATCCACATTTTTCAAAAAGAAAGAAAAAATAAAAAAGATATATTATGAAGAATATATACCAAGGAAGCCTACATGGCTGTAACCAAAACCAAACCCACTGCCGTCGAATCGATTACGACTCATAGTAGGAAGATAATTTCCTATACGTCTCCTAGGCTTCGTGAATTTGCCACGAGTTAAAACTCAACCTGCCCCGGAGCCCCAGGAGGTCAGAGCCCGGGTAGCCCGGCGCTGCCCACTTTCCACTCACGCCAAGCCCCGCCATCCGCGGGGAAGGGAGTCACGGCCTCCCTCAGACCCCTCGCCTTGCAGATAGGCGCGGCCGGGACACTAGGATCTGCCTCCCGACCTCAGCCGCGCCGGCTCAAGGCCCAGCAGGCAGGAGGGGTCGCGGTCCGGCCTAGCCGCCCCCGCTCCTCGGCCGCCGGAGCCGCTTTGCTCCTCCTCCCTGCTCCCCACGGTCCCTACCTCTTGGGTGCTGGAGGCTGCTCCATGGCGGTCAAGGACAGAAGGAGGGAGCAGGCAGGCGGAGAAGGCCGAAGGGAGAAAAAGAGCTAGGGCACCGGCCGGCCGGGCCCGGGGAACCGCGAAGGGAAACTCCTGGAACTCGGACCAACTTTCCCGTAACTCCGCAGCGGATCCTCCTCCCGCCCCGGAGCGCGGCTCCTCCTGGCCGGGCCCGCCCCGCCCCTGAGGCGCGGCCTGCCGGGCGCCTAGGCTGGTGGGCGGAGCCGGAGAGAGGAGGATGGGCGGAGTCTGAGACGGGGGCGTGGCCGTCCCTGACGCTGGAAAGGGGGAAAAGGAAAGTGTAGCTGTTCTGGGAGAGCTAGGTGAAGCTAGAGGTACATCCCTTCAGGTGAGCCCACAGCTTCCACTCCTCACTCACCTTCTCTGCCTTTGCTCGAATCCGATTTGACTCATTTTTCTGCATTTCCCACAAGACACATCCCTATCATCTTATGAAGCTACCCACGCTTCCCTGTCTGTTTTTGCTTATAATAATTACTGGTTATGTTTTCCCAGCCACTTGACAGTTGTAGCTACAATACGAGGGATACTTCTGGAAATTCTTGTTTGCTTTTGATTATAAACAGGCTCCTCACCACATTTCACAATAATTACATCTAATTAAAAAGAATATAATTACTCTGGTGAAATCTCAACATACCAAATTCAGGGTACTGGGAGACTGCTGGCTATTCAATCCCAAACGCTGGCAAACCTATAACAAATTTTACTGCAGAGAAACGTACTCAATAAAACTTTATTTCATCTACTCAAACTATTCCAAAACATACAAAAAGAGGGAATCCTCCCTAACTCATTTTATGAAGCAAGCATAACCTTGTTACCTGCCAAAGAGGCAGGGAGGCACTATCTTCTGACCTCCTCTAACCCCACAAGAGGAAGACAGAATCACCATCAGTAGCCCAAGTCATACCTACAAGGCCAGACATGCTGCCTTCCTCCAGCCCTTTCACCAACCCTGACATCAACTGTTCCTCCCACAGTACCTACCACCTCTCTGCTGGGTTGGATAATTTGCTGCAGTGGCCACACAGAACTCACAGATGATAGAGTTTATTAGGGAAGCAACAGGCTACAAATCAAGTTCAGTAACACGCTCAGTCTCTCTTAGCCCACCATCTCTCAGCTGACAGTCCCAGTCTCTTTCCCAGCAGTGTATGTCTCTCGGTGTCTCTCTCAGCAGTGCATGTCTCTCAAGGTCTGTCTCAACAGTGCATGTCTCTTGCATAACTCTCAGCAATGCGTGTCTCTTGCATCTTTCAGCCAGCAGTGAGAGATTCCTTCTGCCTCTAGGAGGGCTCCTTTTGAGCCTAGCAGAGTGACCAAACTAACCAAGTCCAACATCAAAATTCCATACACCTGAGAGAGAGCGAATTTCCCAGAAGATTGCTTCCTGCTGCTCCCAACAGAAATACCCCAGGTGGATAACTTTAATAATCAGGAGCTACTCAGTTCTTCATGGCAACTTCCACCATGGAGTTTACAAAGACTTATGGCTAGAAAAGTCACACTATGTAATTTACTATACCACAATACCAAAACCTGGCAAAGACATCACTCAAAAGGGAAACAACAGACCAATATCCCTCATGAATATAGATATGAAAATCTTGAACAAAATCCTAGCCAATAGACTCCAACAACATGTCAAGAAAATCATTCATTATGACCAAGTGGGATTCATATCAGCTATGCAGGGATGATTCAACATTAGAAAAACAATCAATGTCATCCACTACATAAATAAAACAAAGGAAAATAACTATATGATCACATCAATCAATGCAGAAAAGGCATTTGATAAAATCCAACACCCATTTCTGATCAAAACTCTCAGCAAAATAGGAGTAGAAGGGACATGCCTCAACATAATAAAGGGCATATATGCAAAACCCACAGCCAACATTATTCTCAATGAAGAGAGACTGAAACCATTCCCCTTGTGAACAAGAACCAGACAAGGATAACATCTATCACTATTTCTATTCAACATTGGCTTGGAAATCCTAGCCAGGGCAATAAGGGAAGAAAGGGAATCAAAGGCATCCAAATTGGTAAGGAAGAAGACAAACTATCCCTATTTGCTGATGATATGATCCTATACCTAGAAAACTCAAGAGACTCAGTCAAAAATCTACTG